CCCCCCCCGACACACACTCACACCAGTCCTAAAAAAAAACAACCAAAGAAGCAAACAAAACGAAGAAAAAAAAGACGGAAAAAAGAACAAGCTTAGCATCATAAACCTAAGATGTTTTTACATCCTTAAAAAAATTATATGGAATTTGATGTCAAACAGGAGTTTTCCAGGACTCAAAAATATTCTTGCTACGTGGGAATATTACCCCTTTGGCGCCGATACTGGCTTCATGATTCATGTTATCCGAGAATTAAAATAATAAAACACGAAACACTTCTTTTGTATTTGAACTCTTGCGTGCTGGAGCACAAAACAAATTCATAGCAACAGGAGCGTCAACATGGCCGCCAGTAAAAGCCATCTCGTACTGAGAATCTTGATGCAGATCGAAAGCGCATAACAGGGCAACACCTATTACTATCTTATCAGAAAGATAATTTTATTCAAGTATGTATGGTGCTAATGGCACATATTGACTTGAGAGTAACGTCGAACTTTTACTAAAATAGCTTGATCTGAACATAAACAGAAGTTGTTTATTTGTGTGTTTAAAATTAAAAAATATGAATCTAGATCTAGATATCTAGATCTAGATCTCTATATGTGTAATTCGGATGTAGTTTCTGTTTTGTGGGTCTAACATACTTTTTGTTCTGACTAATTTTTAAAAGAAAGAAAAGCATGTCAGTATCAAAGTAGATCTATATTGAAATTGATGCATGTATTTGAACTGCTGTACTAGTCAGCCCTTTTTTCCTTTGAATTCACAGCGGGAATGAGATGTATTAACTAACATTATAATTATAATGTGGTTATAATTAGTATGCACACAAGGCTCCAACTGGTCTATAATTAAAGTAATTTCTTAACAGCCAATAACTTTGTTTCTTGCTCGGCGTCTGTCAAACAAATATAATGCTTTATTCTTGCTTTACAGAGGAAGATGCGATACAATATATCATTGTTGTTCTTTATTATAAGATGAACTTAGTACTATTTCTTTGAATGCACAAATTTGATGGGCTGACGGATGACACCCTGCAGCATATCTAACTTGTTGTTTTTGTCGCGCTGGCATATATTGCAGGGATTCGATCCCTTCTCACACTTTGTGATGCTCCAAGCCTGGGCTTTCCGTAGTTAAATATTAGCCCCTGTGTAAGTCAGCTGGGTGGCATAGGGAGTTTTGTCGTTCCTGGTGCCTTTCACAAAATGTGGAAATCTGATCTATGACCAACACTTGGGTAAAAGATTTACCCCCCCCCCCCTCCCCAATTCCTCCACCACTATCTTGTAGTTGAAGAAACAGGAGCTGTGTTTTAAAGATCATTGAAACTGAAATTAGTGATCAGGAAATATTGAACCCACCACTTTCATAGCTGATGTGTGTTTTAGTGCAACAGTTAGTCTTAAAGGTTTATTCTTCTTGTTCTTGCTCACTATCAATCTGTCAAATATTGTTTATTTCAGTTTGGAGTTGAGCTAGACGTGTCATTGAAAAATTTGCAATTATGGCATCTAAGCTCAACTCAACTTTGTCGGAGCGCACCATGCTCTTCCCATGTGCTGCTGGAGTCCAGGTGCCACAGATAGGGGCTGAGGATTCTAAAGTGAAGGTGATGTTGAACCAGAGATCAACCCCAAGTATACTTCCAATGACCATTGTCTCCCAGGATGTAAATCCAGCAAGTGAAAGATATGTTCAGATGGTGAGCAGCGGTCTGTCATTTAGCCAAGATGTTGTGGAGGATCGTTGCTTGCATATGATGCCATATGATACAAAATACTTCAGTGGTGTTTTTGAGCCAGGCGAACTTCTTCCACCACCTCGCAGATCAAGCAGTGTTATGGGTAGGCATAATAAAAGAGGCGTTGATGCTCGGCACATGCCGTGTTATTTGAAAAAGATTGCCAAACCTGCCCCCCTGACTCCTTTAAGGAAACAAGTGAAGGAAAAAGCTCTCCAACTCCATAAGGAAGCACTTTCTTCAAAACAAAAAGATATTTCAAGAGATAGTTTTGATGGTAGTACATCGCCTTCTTCTTTCTTCATGACAGAAGTAAGTTCTCAGGAACAGGCTGCCCAACGTCCCAAATTAAAGCCAATTCCTGAGTCAAGAGAGTCTAAACTATCCAAAGTTACATTGGGCAGTAAACAAGGAGAAACAGTAAAAGCAGATAAGACCATCAAGCAAGATGACACTGTGAGCAGATTAGGTACTGCAGTGTCATTTAGAGTTACTGATGAAATAAAATCAAGGGCTAGTGGTGCATCCATTGGCACACGTGACACGAGTGAGTTGTCTCAAATCCCAAAAAATGATTGGGATGATCACCTCATGTCCAGACTTAGTAAACTGACTGCCAATTGGATAGTTCATGAGAAGCTGCCAGCAGATGGACAAAAAGAAAAGTTGGCACATGTACTTGAATCCTGGTACGGACCACCAACACACACAGACCTAGTGAGAGAGCAAGCTAGTGATGGGGAAGAGGATGAAAAGGCAAAGGAACAGAAACCAAAAAGCAAATGGAAAAAGAAGGAAGCATCGTAAGTGTCCATAGAAAAATATTGTTTTCTTTGAAGAAGTTTGAGTCTTGAAGAAAAAATGCATTACTCTAAATGTTGAAGAAATAAATGTTATTGTTTTAGAAATTTGAATCTATAAATGTAGGCCCATATTTCTTAATGGGAAGGTTGTCCCATTTTAGCTTTTCATGTTAGATATTTTTCTTTGTGGATTGTTTTGGTATTTAAAGATTTATGTATTATCTCAAGCAGGTTGTTCTTTCTTCTCTTGATAAGATCAGGAGTAGTGATTTGAGTAAAGTTGAAACTGTATTTTCTTATCTTTTCGATAAATCCAATTTTCATTTCATTATGTCTTTATAGGCATTCTTTTGTAAAGTGAGGACTGTTTGAAAAGTTAAGTGAAAGTGGTTAAAACTAAGAAAGGAAACAGCTCCTCTTATAATCTGCAAATGCTGTGCTAAAAGTAGTACACACTATTAGTTTTTACCAAAGTACAAGTTGCACCATTGGATGCATGCATCTATGACTTAACATCAAGCCTGACAACCCTGCTAGAGAAGGTAGAAGTGAGAAGACATTCAACTACATATTTCCCAATTGTCACATCTGCTTAAGCTGAGCTCCTTCTTATGATTCAAACGTATTTTCCCCAATACTCTGTCAGAGCAGACTGAAAAATCTTGCTTTATACTTGCAGTTTATTTTGCATCAAATTGTGTCTTTTGTTGTCTCTAAAGTGTGCTGGAGAGAGTTTACAATGTCAGACCATCCCTGGCAGAAGCTATTGACCCCTACTCTGATGACAACAAAGCTCCATTTTATCGACAACCAGCTGGTATCAGGAAAAAGAAGAGAAGCGAAGAGAAAGAAGAAGCTGGTATGCCTTTTGTATTCCTAAGTCATTTGACATGTGGGCCCCAGATATTCTAAGGTTTTTCTCATTAATTTCTTTGTGTCTGTTTAAAACAACATGAGCTGAAAAATATATTAAAAAATGAAAACCAAATGCCAGTTGTGTCTGCACATTAATGTACATAACTGATTACTATGCCTTCGTGTTGATTACACTGAATGAAGAGTGGATAAACTGAAAAAAAGAATGAAAGTTAGCTTTTTTCTTAGAATTTATTCACAAATTGTTAGAAATCTATTGTTCCATTAACGTCCATTGCATATTCATCCTCATTCAGAGAACTGCTATAGATGATCATATATTTTCTTTGATTTGTGATGTTTATACAGCAAGTGAGATAACAGAATAACTGTGACCACAGTTGTCCAATCCTTTCCTTAAAAATTGTCACTTTTAATTAACAATCTTACTCTAAGTAGACTGAGAATATTTGCTTTCACTGATAAAATATCTACTTAAAATTATAATTTTAGAGGCCCTATCAGATTAAAGTTTATACCAAAGATGAAGATGAGTTACACAATTGAGGCTTATATAGAGTTAATGTGTGCCACAGGAAAGTATCTCAATATATGAGTAGTATTATAAATGAAAAGCATGCTTCTAAGTATATGTTTTTAACTCCCCTATTACTGTTACCTGAGAAATATTTAAAAGTAAAGAGTTGGAAACTATTTCTTTTCATTTTGTCTTCATAATTTATTCTTTTGGGATAGGTGTGGCTGATAGTACTACTTTATGATGTGTTTTAAATTCCCCATCTACAGCCAGCCCAAGAATGACCACAGAAACTGGAGAAGAATCTCGTAATTAATTAATGTTGACACATCTGTAGTATTTTCAGTTCTTTTTTGTGTAGTTGAGGCTAGTTTTAAAACCGTACTTGTAATTTCATTTCTCTTGTATAATTTTTATTTTGAACATCTCTTTCTTGCTTCATATGATTTGAATGGATTTTATTCTGTTCCTTTTTAGTTTAAAGAACCTTTAGTTGTACATAGAAATGGTGATGGACATTGGTGATGAATTTTGTTTTCCTCCTGGATATTAAGGGTGCCCCCACTTAATTTGCATTGCTTGTACTGCCATTCTTTTTTTAATCAATAAAATTCCTTTTGCCAGACATTTGCATGTTACTGCTTTATAAGCAGTAAATCTTATTTAGTCGTTGCTGCAGCCAGTGGCAGATTTGGTCCCAAATATACAGTCAAACCTGCTCTAATGTCCTCCTGTCGAAGACAGTCACCTGTACAAATGATTACTTCCCTCATTCCCTCTTGCATTAAAAAAAAAGATTTTTCTGTATCCAGTGTGTTTTGCTGACTCCTAGTATGTGCAACTTGTAGCTCTTCATCTCCTGTACTACTTAAAAACTCTTTCCTGCTTCACACAAGGTGCAAACATTCCACCACGCAGCCTGGAGAGAATTTTTCGACAGAGAAGGTTTCGGATCAAGAGAGTCCTTTCAGCTTTGTCTGCTGTCCTTCATTGTTCCTGCTGATGCAGAAGCTCCTCTGTCTCCCAAGATCGAAAAATAACAAGCCGTGTTTCTGTAACTGACTGTTTTTACTTGGTCGGGTAGTTGGCCCTCTGCTAACTGGCACTTTTCGGGCGACCAGACTTATGCAAGTTTAGTCGCCTCTTGTGCCACGCAGTTTCACGGAATGTATATTCTTTGCTCCCCCATACCAAAACTATGGGGCCCCCCCACCTACAAGCTGCTTGTTATTATTTTGTTTACTTTTCTCTCTTAACCATGCTCGCTCCCTGCGATAGCTAGCAAAGTTTATAGCTTCTTTTTGCTCTTGGTTGTTTAAGGTCATCATTAGTTTATGGTGGATGAACGATCATTATTAATGTGTGTTTAGTCATGTGTTCGTGAAACGATAAGCTGGTTTTTTAATAAACATCTCCAGTGGTAGGGTATAAAATTATACTGGAATTGTGCAAATAAGACAAACTTTCCTCTCTTCTAAAATCTCTCTCTCTTGCCCTTTTTAACTCCCAGTGGAGCACAGGCCATCAACAACATTACTCCAGCGAAGCCTATCCTTAGCACCCTTTTTCTAGCTGTTTCCATAATGTCCCCACTTCTTCTAAAATATGTAACCTAACTTGAAGAGCAAATTATTTCCAATTTTATCAGAATGTTGCAATGTAGTTCATGATGCCAGCCTTCTTTTCTGTGGTTTATCAGATTCTATTACCTGCTTGCTATGTAATGTTTGCCTTTTGTTTTTTCTTTTAGCTATTTTCCCCTCTTCACATTCTTTGAGCATCATCATCACCATTGTCATCTTTATCATAAAGTTTCACCCTCACCATCTTCATCATCGTCATCATTTTTGTGAGCATGGTAATAATTTTTAAAAATTTAAGGAGACTTGAGTATTTTAATATTACTTATCTGACTGTAAAATAAGCTCAACGTTTGACCTTAAAGAGCTTCTACAGGAAGTTAAACCATCATCATCATCATCATCATCATCATCATCATCATCATCATCATCATCATCATTGTTTGGAAAGCAGAGTAGGAGGGAAGAGTCTTGTTTGAATTTCAGACAAAATAGCCTAACAATATAAAATGTTTAAAATTTGTTTAATAGACGCTGCTCAACTTTTCGCCTTGTGAGCTTCCTCGGGAGCAACTGTCATCATCATCATCATCATCATCATCATCATCATCATCATCATCATCATCATCATCATCATCATCATTAGTAGAGGCAACAGAAACGGTAGCATTTGCATTAGCAACATCATCTTTATCATCAAAAACAGCAAAAGTAGCAAGATTAACATAAAGAATAACTGCTTGAGTGAAAATTTAGCTCCAGCATCTAGATAAAGAGTAATAATAATAATAATAATAATAATAATAATAATAATAATAATAATAATAATAATAATAATAATAATACTAATAATAATGATAATGATAGTAAAAGTAATAATAATATAATTATGATTATAAATATAATTATGACTATAATTGTAACTTCAATTATCAAAATGATTAGAATTATACTCATGATTATAGGTATAAATATAATAATCAAAATAACAATAATAATAGAGTTGTTAATTACGAGAGTATGCAATGTTATTCTCAGCAAAGATTACATGCCCCTACACACTTTGACATCAATAGCAGAATACATGGATAGACATAAAGTCTCTCTCTCTCTCTCTCTCTCTCTCTCTCTCTCTCTCTCTCTCTCTCCCTCTCTCCCCCTCTCTCTCTCTCTCTCTCTCTCTCTCTCTCTCTCTCTCTCTCTCTCTCTCCCTCTCTCCCTCTCTCTCTCTCTCTCTCTCTCTCTCTCTCTCCCTCTCTTTTTCTCTCTCTCTCCCCTTTCCTTTCTACCTTTGTTCTCCCTCTCTCCCTCTCTCGACCACCCCCCCCCCCCCCTCTATTCTCTCTCTCACCTCTTGTGACTGCAAACTTGTCTAAGCTCAAATTTACCCGCTCTCTTTCCCATATGCACACACACACACACACACACACACACACACACACACACACACACACACACACACACACACACACACACACACACACACACACTCACACGCTCACACTCACACACACTCATACACACTCATATACATACACACACTCACACATACACACACTCACACGCATTTATATACTGATACACACACTCATACATACACACATGCATACACACACACATACGCACACATACTCATACGCACACATACACACACATGCATACATACACTCGCACACACACACACACACACACACACACACACACACACACACACACACACACAAACACACATATACGCACTTCCCACTACCTAGTCACATAGTGGTCCCGGCCAGGATCCTTTTTCTTATTCTTTAGGTGCACAATAAACTAAAACTTAACTTGAAAATTGCTGAGGTTATCTCACCTGAGACCATAACAATGGCTTTCATACTTACTTTGATATCTTGCAGCTGAGGTATATTTCTTTTTTCCCCCCTTTATTTTAGTCCTGTTTTCTGTTCTTGCTTGTGCTTGTAAATGTTTGTAATCATCTTGCTGCTTTTTTTTTCTTTTAATTTGCAACTTGAAACAGTAATTTTGTACCACCATTTCAAATTAAGGACAAGTTCATCACATAACATAATGAAAGAAAACTAGCTAGTGCATTGAAAAAACTCAATGTTATTTAAATAGTATGCCTCTGTATATGATAAGGATAAGTGTGAAGTCAGCACTATGGAATAGAGAAATAAAAGACTTTTTTCCCGTTAACCTTCACCTTTAATCCCCTGCGCCATTGAATTGCAAACCAAGTCGCTTATTCTCCTCATTTCATGAACTGAGTACTAATTACATGTTATGTGCAATATTCAACTGAGTTAAAAGTCTCGTCACCACGTTCAAAATTGGCTGTACTATATCTTCAGGGGCCATTAATGCAACAGCACACAACATTTCTGTCAGAGGTTATACTGAAACACCACCCATGACGCTAAAGGATGTCTTGAGTCCTCGTGTTGGCAACAAGATTTACAACACTGGCAATGCTTTTGAACAAGAATGGCTCACAGGTATCTTCAGTCCTTCTTCTCTATAGTGGTAATTTATCCTGATATGAGTAATGCTCTTTTTTATAATGTATCAGTATTTACAAATTTATATGTTGAAGTACTGAAAGCTTTAGTCTATGGCAAAAGCAGAAGGGGAAGTTGGATTAATGAATACCAACTGATTCTGTTCGGCTTTGCCTTAGTGAAAGTAAAGTTGTAAGAGGAAGATATTTTTTGTTACATATTACTACTGTTGAGTTTAGAGTGGTAGAAGAAACTTACTATTAATTACAGCTTTGAAGTCTTAATTTTTTTTAGATAAATGGGTTGTGATTGCCAGATATCCACATTTTATTCATCTTCTTAGTCTGAAATGTAGACATTGTGTGTCTACGGTTATATTTGTTGCTTCCCCAGTTTCACTAGTTTGGTGACTCAAGCATCACATTCTGTTCTTTATATTTGGATATCAAATGAGTCGGATCAACATATGTGGTTAAGTTTTCTGGAAGATTCTTTGGCAATATACAGATATAAAGTGATTATGTAACGACTTACGGAAAGTTGTTTTTTTCAGGTTCTAAGCAAGTGTATAAAGCTGGAGGTGATCCAAATGAGATCACCATGGATACGGATAATAAGTACAAGAAGCAAGTTCAAAGGGAGCTGCCTCAAAGGCCAGAGACTTGGTACACACTTGAGAATGAAAAGAAATCAGCTGAAAAAGCAGCAAGCTCCCAGCATATTCCAGAAAAGGGACAAAAGAGATGGGTGGCTCTGCCTGAACTTATTGATGTAAGATTTAGTCTAGTAATTACATTCTTTGAGAAAGGTAGCAGTGTTCATAGTTTCTGTATTGACTCTGATGTTATAGCCCTGAGATAACATTTGTGGTATCATTCCTATTTTGATTGGTGTCATTCCTATTTTGATAAGGGGATGACAGTAAAAAAGTAAGTTCTCTTCATGGATTTTGAGTTGATGGAAATTCACTTTCAAGTTTATGTTTTAAAAAGATGAAACTTCAATACTTATTTGAAACCATCAACTCATTATGTCCTGAAGAGAATCTAACAAGAGTGATGTAAAGAAATTTTAAGTGTTCTTTCATCAACAATGTATTTATACAGGAAGGCTTGTATCACAGTTAAGTAGAAAATAGCATGCCAACGCATCGAGGAATATGATGACTTATTTTTTTCTTATGCCATATTGAGCTCCTGCATGATGGTTTTCCTGAGTTTGCAAATTTATGGGAATGATATAATTGTTTGGAAGCCGTATTGTGAGTTCCGAATTTTATTTTTCATTGTTGCAGATGATAACACAGGAACTCTTATTTCAATTCTGTCATTATTATTACTATGTTACTAAGAATGCTGGCAGTCGTTATTCTTTTTGACCTGTTAAAAATTATATGTTATATTGTTGAGCATTCAAATAAAGCTCATCACAGTTGTTAACACTTTTAGAAGATTGTAGCAAAGACCCAGATAAAGTTAGATGCAGTTGAACCTGCTCCAATAGCCACCTGTATATGACACTCACCTGTACTAATGGCCACTTCTCATCCCCCCCCTCCCCCAAACCCCTGGGTTTTTTTTAAACTTCATAATGACACTGTGTATGATGCCCACCTGTCTAAAACAGCTGTTTTTCTCTTCGACAATGGCTACCAGTTTTGACTGTATATCCTCTTTACTTTTTCCTCTTGAGCAGGAAACTGAAGGCACTGTGAATGCAAACAGTGATGGCTTTGATACTGGAATGATGAAGGCAGTGGATCCTAAACAGAGGAGAAGAGTGAAACAAAACCATGCATTGGTCACAATTGGTAAGAATGATCAAATAACTTTACATAGAAGTGGTAACTGTGAAAGTGGAAAGCTTTTAACATAACCTAGACTAAAGGTATGTTTTAGTAAGAGTTTTGTGGCACTTGCAACACAATAAGGTCATATAAGTGCCGAAGATTAGAAGTGATACAAGAGTAACAAACACATAAAAGGAGGAGAGATAAGGACAATAGATGTTTGATAGGAAAAAAAACCACATCACAGCACCCACTAACCAGCGGCACAGAAAGTATGGATTTGCAATCAAATGTTGATTTCATAGGAATACCTGTTTGATTCTCCATAGAGGTTGATTTCTTAGTACATATCTTGCCTTCCTTGCCAAGACATCTTGTTGGATTAACACTTTGCCCCCAGGGGACGCCAATCGGCGATGGTGTGATATAGCGTGTATCCTGGTCAAAGGGGATAAGTGCTGCACGCTCAGCGTGCTGCGTGGGTGGAAAGTGTTAAGGATGTATGCACTTCTGGTAGATTAATAAACTGGGTTGTTTTTATTCTATTTCTTTTTTTTTGGGGGGGGGGGGGGGGGCGTCCACCTTAATCTTTGTAAAAATTAAATCTAGCTCGTAGCTTTCTATTATAAGGGAGAAAAACTTGAAGGTTTCATGGCATGTGTTTGTTGCATCCTTTAAAGACACCTTAGTAGTTGAAAATAGGACAAGATTTGCTTTTGTGAAATTGGTAGTCATTAATCATTGCTCAAGACTTAGGAGTTTCACATCAGTAGGTCTATAAATACTGAACAACCCTTGATGAAGCAGTGTGTAATAAACAGATAGATAAAGAAGCCTCCTGCATCATGGTAGGAAAAGTGGTCAAGAATGGATTGTTAGTTTGCTGTACGCCAAAGAATCCACAGTTATCAGTTTGCTGCTCTTTGACTTAAAGCTGGTTACTGCAAGAGAAAGAGATACTCCCTGCTGTAGACTGTATGTATACAAAAAGCCTATGAATGAGCAGACTTTTATTTTTTGCATTTTAAGTGAGTTAAGTTTTCAGCTCTAGTCAAGAAAACTATTAAATTTAAGAATCAGCATCATCATCTGCCTTTCTCATCCTGTGCTGGAGTACAAGCCCCTATAAAGAGCTCTCCATCTGCTTCTGTCCTTGGCTATCTATCTGTCAAGCTGTATGTCATTTCCTTAATTAGGTCCTAATCTAGGTCCCTCCTCCAAGTACTTTTAGGCCTTCTTCTCTTTCTCTTTCTCATTGGATTCCGTCTTAAGGCATGATGAATGATATTTTTCTTTTCAGTTTCGTCAAGATGTGTCCAATTCACTTTCATTTTCTCTTTATGATTTCTATATCTATTTTCTGTGGATTTGTTTGCTTCTATAGCTATTATTTCTTATAGTGTCAGGTCAATGAATTGATCTAAGCTGAAGTACCATAGCAGAAACTTAATGTACTTTCCACATCCTGAAACGAAGGGTGAGACAGTAGTAATGTAGTGTAAAGCGCTTAGAGCTTGCTGTTGAGTGAGGATATGTGCTGTATAAATGCTATTTATTATCACTGATATGTAAATCATTATTGTTAATATTTTCCAGTTCATGACTGGAGAAGTAAATGGTTCCTGAGTGGACAGTTTGCTGACAGTACACCCGATGACTTGATCAGAGACATGGCAGATATTCAGCCCCATGTTAGGCTGAAAGCTATTGGTACAGTGGCTAAGGTTTGCTATTTCTTTTGTTATTTTCTCTCGCTCCCTATTATTATAATATAATAATGAACTATTTGATCAGTGACTACATAAGTGCATTTTCAGAACATTGTGCTCATGCTTTCTTTTCCCTTATATCTATGAAGTCACTAAATTGTTGTGCCAAGTCAGCTAGGCTCTGCCCTAAGCTGACAAAAAGCCTTTTTTCGTTTTGGGGCCACTTTTTTTCAATTTTCTAAATCGTTAGCCTGATCAGTTACCCTACTTGTGTGAAAAAAAATCAAAGTGAAACTATGACTAGTATTTTAATAAATTAGAATTGAAATTTTGGAAGAACGTCTTCTTTGAAAGGCTATTTTGACAAAACTCCTTTTTACCTCGAAACTGCTTTGAATTTTTAAAAAAGTGCTTTGTCAGCATACGGCAAAACTGGCAACCCTGTCAAATTAGTATTCATCAGTTTATCGGATTTATAGTTTTTTAGTTTGTCCACCGGCTGCACACTCACAAATTTTATGCTAAGATACAGGTGCTTTCGGTTCTGCTTATTTTGATAAAGAAACACTTCATGCATATGTGATGGATTTTTAAGTTCAGTCATAGTTGAGATTGTATTTTTATATGCAAGAACACTGCATCATTTGTGGCTTCTTATCAGCAGCTTGTATTTTTTTACTTTTCTATTTTTGTGGTATTTTAAGAATGCATAAACCTCATTCAAAGGTCAGCGTGGGATGTCCTTTTTCGACCCCTTTTAGTGGAACTGATATCTGTTCTTGTTATGATTTTTGCTTTCAACAGGCTTCAGAATATAAGCCCCCACCAGATATGACTGTGATGCTGGAATCTTCAGAATATGACCCAGTGAAAGAGTTGCCAGAGAAAATCTTTGTTGCTCTTGAGTGCCTCTTAGATGACAGTCATGACCAAGTGAAGAAAGCTGCTGCCATCACACTGTACTCCCTGGACAGGCCTTCAGAAAAGGTTGTGCATATTGCTTTTCTGCCCGCTGCATGCTTTTGGTGATGATTTTATCATTTAATCTATTGATCCAGTAATGGATAATAATATTATCAACAGATCCCTTTTAAAACTATCCTTTTTTTCTGATGTAAGAAAGAAGGAAAGGGGTACCAGTACTTTGCTTATCATTAATTAGGTTTGTTTTACAACTTGTGCACCCATGCTTGAAAAGTGTTCAGTATCATAGATTACAAACCACAGCTTTGTGAATTCAAAATACTCCTATTCCATGGCTGGTTGCCAAAGTGCAATGCCTTGTTTGAGCTGTCACTATTGTGTCTTACTTATGGACTCACTCCAGTGGTCCCCATCCAAAGTCTTTCTACCCATGACTTTTATTGACAGTTCCTGTTATAATCGGAGTTCTCTCAACATTTCAGTTGCTTAGTCTTTTTCTCTAAATAAAATAGTACAATGGAATGAGCCATAAAACAGTTCACTTCTCATGAAAATGAAAGAGGAAGCCTTCTAGTTTTCTAATATGATAAGCGTATGAGGACAACGAACTATGACATTAAATCAGTTCGCTGTTTTGTTGTAATCCATTGTTAAAAGCTTTGTGTAGAAGTAGAGATGTTTGTAATGTTCCTCTGCATTCATTAGGGTTACTATCTAGATTACATCTTGGCATCAAGCCTTTGTTAAATAGAATGACAAAATATTTCCTAACCAGATCTGTTTCCTACCTCAGGCAAAAGAGCAGCTTCGGCACATGTTAATGGGCAGCAGCTCTGTTGACCGGTGGGCAGCTGCCCAGTGCCTGGCACAGTTTGGCGAGAGCGATTCTGATGTGGTGGCCGAGATCATCAAACAGATTCTGAGCACTGAAGTGGCAGTCAAGTTAGAGCAGGGCATTCACTTGTTGGCTAAGATTAGCAACAGCAGTGTGAGTAGTTTTTGATTGGTGTATGCTGACCAATGATAGTACATAACAAGATGGGCCACTTCTCTCTTTGAGCCAATTAAAAAAGTGTCCTCAAAATTTGGTGGCGCCCTCTTCACAAAAGCGCACTTTTGCGAACAGAGTTACCCTACTTGAGTTTAAAAAAATGAAAGTGAAACTAGCAAGTTTTGGGATAAATTACGGAAGAAAACGTTTTTAAAATGGTTACGCTGACAAAAAACCTCTTCCGGAGAAAAGGGTGATGGTTTTCTTCGTTTAATTTGACTTTAGAATGAAAGGCGAGAGGTCATTAAAATAAAAAACCCTAGAACTCCGCACTGAACGTACCCGAACTGCTGATGAACAGCAGTCGATCTGCGCACGCAAGGACGTGTTATTCCTATTCTTCTTCTGGAAAAACGAAAGAGAGCTTCAAAACAGACTGCAGCGCCATCTGAAGCAAAGAGCATACTTCCTGCAGACACTTTTTTGGCTGAGTGGCCCATCTTGTTATTCACTATCTTTGATGCTGACCTAGCCTTTTGTGACTAGACAAAAAGAAGTGAAATCTACATGGCAAGTGGGTTTTTTTTGTTTGTTTTTACCTTAGAAGGAGAAACATTTCCTATCATGCTGAATGGACAAAATATTTCGTCCGTTTTACTCCCTATGAAGATATTTTTTTGCTATGTATACTGTTTGCTTTTTTGTTGCATTCCCCCTTCTATAAGGTGTTGTTTGTTTTGTGTTGAGCATCCTTTCTTTATGCTACTTTGCTTGTGTGCTTTTGTTACTTCTCTCTTTGTTTGATTACTGTTGATGGACCTACGATGGGATAAAACTAATTTGGGCGAGTGTTGGATATAGGCCTACATGTGCTGGAATACAGCAGTTAGTTTACTATGTCTTTATGATTATGCATAGTAGGAAAAGTCGGCTTTTATGGTTGAAAATAGTGCAGATTGCAGAAATGTGTGTATTATACATCATGTGAGGCATCGTGGTAAAATCAGGTGCTTCTCAAAACAATGAAACCGAAGAAACAGGCATTTTTCTACCGGTTTAGTAAATTTTATTGATTTTTTATTTTGGCTCAATACCTTTTATATCCATTCAAAAACATATTTGTGTGTGTGTGTATGTGTGTGGGTGTGTGTGTGTATTTTACTTTAAAATGTTGGTTAATGGAACAAAAATTGTAAATATTCAGTTTCCAAGGACTCTCAGTTAATGGAAGTCACCAAACTTTGGCGTCCATTTTCTCGCTAATTTCACCTCTGAAACCAGGTGACCCCCACCTACTTCAATTGCAAATATTTTGAGTTCTAATCAAGATAGATTTTTTTTCCCCCACCAAAAGCAAGACAAATGAACAAGCTTTAATATTGTATTTATAACTTCTCTTGCCCAAAAATTGACCAGAACCTGATTCCACTTTGTCTTGACACATGTGATTGTTTTTTGTCTGTATCTGTATGCTGATAACTTTCATTTTTGTGGCATAATTATCACACATCATCGAATACTATTCACAAACAGTTAAGTTGTAAGTTAGTAAGTTTATTCAGTGTTTAAGGCCATTGGCCCACACCACAAACAGTTCAATTTAGTTCATACGAAAATTTGCTTTACTTGCAGATCTTGTTCTTATCCTCAGACCTTGGTTCACTGCATGGTGGCTGAGCAACTGAACAGCAGCAGCTGGAGACACCGCGTCATTGCCTGTAAAATCTTGCCCACACTGTTTGGCTCCATCAACAGGGTAATCATTTGTGTTAACAACTCATTCTTTGCTTTTCTGCAAATCTCTACTCTTGATGTAAAAAGATTAATAAAATTCCAAGATAAGATTTTGTACTTGTGGAACCCTAACTGCTGTTTCCAAGCTGCATTTGTCACTTTTATAATGTGTGGGTAATCACTTTATGTTACAACGAGAATGTCTGATTGGTTGACACCTTTTTGATATAGCTATGAATCAGTGTGAACTAGCAATTGTCAGTAGGAATGATACTGAACAGATGCTTATTTTAATACTCTTTGAAATTTAGTAGAGCCATTATACACAATAAGTCTAACCAAGGTTTATGTGGTTTTTATAGTAAGACTGATCTAGTTGGTATGCAGTGTGCACTACCAGTCTCTTATACTTATGCATTGTCATTCCTGGTCTTCCTTTCTATAATTGTTGCCTTTTGTCTTACTTTTGTTCAAAGTACTACTAGTACTAGATCTATATGACAGTTATCATATTGATGTGCTATTCTTTCACCTGATGAAAAACAGACCTTAAAGTCTGCACAGAACAAGCAGTCTGTTAGCACAGTAAAAATAGTACAATTGAATGTAAATTATGATCAAGACAAATTTCTCCCTCAGAGATGAATGAAGATTGTCATTGTCATGTTCTTTGTTAAAAAATCTACAACAAAACAACGTGTGGTGGAATGTTGACTAACCTCACCTCATTTATTCATTTATTCTCAATGTTAGGACATAACTCAAAAGCTGTCAGAACTGATGTGGCATGACTGGCACGTGGAGGTAAGGAGGGCAGCTGGGCAGTGTCTGGGCAAAACGAGTCATGGGCGTGATGTGCATGACGATATCAGGGAGAGGATCCTTCATGGTGGAGAGAGGACCAAGATGGATGCAATCAACAAACTTGGACAACTGGGTGGGTGTGCTCTGTGTTTTGTTTCATTAACCCCTTTGTGACATAATATAGGGTTCTTTCAACTTTTACTGCACCCAGTTCTTGCTGGCCAGGACAATGAGCAGCTTAAGTCATTTTGTGATCCCTTTAAAAAAAAAGATTTATGTGATTCATACATTTTTTTATTGCAGATTTTTAATTTTCCTTTATTTTTCTGTAAAAATTCCATTCAAAATTATATTGATTAGTTGTAGGAGGATATATTGATTAGTTATAGAAGGATACATTAAATAGTTATAAAAGGATTTATTGATAAGTTATTGAGGATATACTGATTAGTTTTTGAAGGAAATATTGTTTAATTGTAGAAAGATATAGGCCTCTTAGTTGTAGAAGGATATATTGATAAGTTTTAAAAGGATACTTTGATTAGTTTTAGGATATATTGATTAGTAGTAGAAAGATATACAGTCCACGCCGGCTTTAAGCACGGTCATCGGGAGAAAGCATAAGCATGCTTTAATCCGAAGCGTGCTTGAGTGCGAAGTAGACATGTAGAAAATTTCCCGTGCTATTTACCTTTGTTTGTAAGTAGGCCTATAGCGGTCCAGCAAAAGTGTGCACTGTTATTTTTATTCGCCCTGGTAGTTTTTGTTTGCTTGTTTGTTTTTGTTTTGAGGTCGAATGGGAAATGAAAACTTAATTTAGACGGCCAGTCACGATACAGCACGCTAGTAGGCCTACACGCTGTCTGTGCATACCACTGCCCGCTGTGCCACGTTCATTATTCATACCACCGCCTTCATCTCACCTCGCACGTGATACACAATCAGGATTATCGGATAGTGAGAGTCAAAGGTGAAATCGCAGCCAGCCTCCCTTTCTCGTCTCCCTGACTCTCTTTGTATTTTTTAGTCAGTGCGTAACTTTGCCCCAGGCTAGATCCTATGTCCACGCGCGCGGCTGTGTTCACTCTCTGCCTTCCTCTCCGCCCGTGTGAGTGTGTGTCTCTATCACTTAGGTTCTCTGTATTTCTCTTAACACACTCCACTGTTGCGGTGTAGACTGTGTTCGAACTTCGATGGGTCATCATAAAAGTATTTACTGTCTTGTAATGAAGTGTGCTTGAAGCCGAAGTTACCGTGCTTAAAGGCGTGTAATTTATTTAGCAAAAATTCGGTAAGAGCCGTTTAGTGTGCTTGAGTCCGAAACGTGCTTTAAGCCGGCGTGCTTATAGCCGGCACGGACTGTATTGATTAGCTGGAGAAGGATATATTGATTAGTAGTAGAAGGATATATTGATTAGTTATAGAATATATTGATTAGTAGTAGAAGGATATATTGATTAGTAGTAGAAGGATATATATTGATTAGTTGTAGGTTGAATATATGTTGATTAGTTATAGAATAATGTATATTGATTAGTTGTTGAAGGATATATTGATAAGTTGTAGAAGGGTATATTGATAAGTTGTAAGATTTATTGATTACATAAGGATATACTGATAAGTTGTAGAAGGAAATAAAACAAGTTATTCTTATTCCATAGCTTCTGCCTTGCATTTGTCTCACAGGTATTATGACAGCAAAACTGTTGCCAGCTTTCCTGGAGTGTTTTGCTGACTCGTACGTCTCAATTCGGTCTGAAGTGTGCATAACCTGTGGGAACTTGGGAATAAAGGAGGAGCAGGTCATCGACAGACTGGTGCACCTTGCCACCTTTGACCCCATTTGGAAAGTTAAAGCTCTGGCTATACAAGGTACAATACTGAAGGGAAAAGGAAAAATGATAACACAGTTGGGCAGGGAGAAGTCAAACACACCAGAGATTGACGGATGTGTTCAATACATCGATAATTCGGATTAACCGAAAAATTCAAGAGACATCTGTTGGGGAATGGCAAATTGTATGAGCTATTTGTGATTTGAGTTTTTAAGTCTTCATTATGTTAGTGCCCGACTGTAATGTGTTACTTTAAATAGAAATAGGTGTTACCGCCTATTTGTACCTGTTGCTGAGGTTATTTTTGAAGTCTTCTTGAATGTGTTGGCTTGTGAGAAATGTGGGAAAACAGAGCTTGTAGAATGTTCTTTGTATTTTTCTATATCAATATGAGTGCTATTGTATTTCAATGGCATTCTTTGAATTGAAAATTGTGGGACTTTTAAAAAAACAGAGAAGAGAGAAACTTTGTCTTTGAAGATTTTCCTACTTCCCTTTTACCATCTTTTATTTTAATAAATGGCCGTATCTTTAGATTGCTGCAGGTTTTTTTTCCATGACATTTTTTATGACAGATAGCCAAGGCCCGTAGCAAAATCCAATACATTTTTTTTATTGGAAATGTTTATTTTTTTACCTTTTCCGACCTTATAGTCTTCAAATGTTGAGACACTGATAAGTGATAAGGGTCCTTGAATGATATTTTCCTCTTTTCCAGCTCTTGGTAAGATTGGCGTTGAAAATTCTGAAATCAAGGAGTGTTTGCTTTGGGCCATGAGGTATGAGGAGCGTCCGGGTGTGAGGGCAGAGGCTTGCCACTCGCTGGTGGCACTCGACATCCAGGATGATGATGTTATAGAGGCTCTACAGGACAGGCTGCTGGTGGAATCAAGCCCAGTTGTGCGAGAGTAAGAGGACCATTTTGCTGCTCTAGAATTACAAAGTTCTACCTGCTCAGCACTTAGTTTTGAGAAATTTGATACTAAAAAATTTTGAGTTTCACTACCTGTCAAGCTTTTTTGAATGCAATTCTTTGAATAACTTGATAATTACTCTGAATACTCTTACGATTTTGATAGAGAAAATAGAACATTTGGTTTCTGACCTCATGGTCTTAGGAACTCAAAACGGCAAAAAATTTCAGGTAGAATTTTGTAATTCTAATGATTTGTTTGATAGTTGCACTAGTAATTAAAAAAACCCAACAAAACAGAATTGTAAAGCACGTCAACTGCTCAGTGTAAGAATTCATCATGTGTCATTTTGCCAAATGGTGTGTTTTGTTTTAGTAAGCGTTTTACAGCACTTGCAACACCGTAAGATCATATAAATGCCGAAGATTAAAGGTGTTATAAGAGAGTAACGAACACAAAAATGAAGGAGGGGAGATAAAGACGATAGATGTTTGATAGGAAAGAAGAAGCTAACCACACCAGAGCACCTGCCAACCACCCACTCAAAATGGTGTATGGCGGAGTCTAACATTAAGATGTTGATATGAGAACAATAGCAAAGGAGGAGGAGGAGGAGGAACTTCAGCTGCAATACTAACTTTAGAAGCAAATACAAGAGCAATAGTAACAACAAGAATAATGTCAGCATCTGCAACAAGAACTGTATGGAGCTGAAACAACAGAAGCAGACTCAACAACAACAGCAATAACAACAGCAGCCTCAGCAACAACAACATCAACAACCACAACAACAACAGTGACAACAAAAACATCAACAACAACATCAACAGCATCAACAACAACATCAACAACTACACCAACAGCAACAACATCAACGACAACAACAACACTGAAAAAGGACTTAAACAAAAGCAAAAAGAGGAGCAACAAAAATACCAAACAAGTTGTAACGGTTGAAGTCTTGTGTAAGTGAATTACACTTTTTTCTTTTACTTTATAATCTCAGTGTTTAACACGTGTTCTAGTTTTGAAATAACAATGCTGTAGTAGGAGATAGAAGAAAGAGGTTCAGTTTCAACCAATATTGCCTGGGTTCCTGGATATCTGGAGGTTTCATCTCTGACTCAGAGGTTGACATGTAATGACCCTCCACCTTTCACGGTCGCGAGCTGCTGTTGCACATTCTACCATATCCAGGCCAGTCCATGTTCTTATTTCAACCAATGATGTTTAACCCTATCTGTAGGCCCCGGGGTCATTTTGTACCCCCGGGGTTGTATTCTTCACATTTTAGAATACTTCTAGTGCAAAGATCTCTGTGATTCTTTCAGTTTTTCTCAAAAACTAATTTTGAGAGACTGCTATGCAGAGCGCATGGATCGGATTAACGAGTAACTTTCCTCATTAGAAAGTGGTGGCACAGAGTTCCCCACATCGTATGGATACGATAGTAAAACATGACGTATGAATAGGGTTAACTAGAAGTATTGCATGACACAGGAACAATTCCTATTTCTCTTTTGTTCCCAGAGAGATGGTGGAAGCCCTGAGCCTGTTTGGCCTGAGCACCTCTGAAGACATGGACATGGTCGCTCAGATTAAATCCGAGGTGCGCAAGCTGTGCACTCGCAACATCATCGCCTCACAGATCATAGTCAATGAGAATGATGAAACCAAGAGAGCTCAACTAGAGAGAATGGTCTGCCAAACAGAAAAAGACATTGAGGTGAGTCATCATTCCTTTGATACTGTCCTGATTCTGTGGCATCTGTGGCCTAGTGGTTAGGCTCTCAGACTCGCAACCGTAAGGTAGTGAAAGATCTTGTCAGTTTGTTAGTGTTTGAGTGCTTAATCAGCTGCTTGCAATGTATGCTTCCCGGGAAGCTGAGAATGTTTCTGAATGTTCCGTGGTCTTCTGGGGAAATAATGTAGTGTAAGGCACATAGAGTTTGCTGTTGGGCACGGATATGCATTATACAAATGCTATTTACTATTATTATTATTACTTCTATTCATGATATGAGTGTTAAAACAAAAGTAGCCTTCTTTCAAACCTTAAAGAACCTAAAGGGTACTATGGTTTTCTAGACACGATCTTCTTTCTTCTGACAGTATGCACTTGTCAGAAATAATTGTTCTTTAGGTGAGGCTTTGGTGTGAAGACTGATTTCTGAGGATTTTCTGACTTGGTGTGTGTCATTAAGATTTTCTTTTTTAATGAAATTATATGTTAAACTTAAAGTGTGAAAGTGATCTTGCTTTATTTATCTACATTTTGTATCGCAGAAATGGATAAAATGAGAGGGATTGATTCAAAATGATTTATTGATTTGAAAGGCCTTTGGCCCATACATCCACATATTTTAACATATGGTTCGGCAATTACATACGTTGGAGCAGCACATTGGGTGTAAAATGAGAGAGAGAGAGAGAGAGAGAGAGAGAGAGAGAGAGAGAGAGAGAGAGAGAGAGAGTGAGAGAGAGAGGGGAAAGGGGGGGGGGGGTGAGTGAGGGAGGGAGGTGGGGGGACGGAAGGAGGAGGGTGAGAGAGTACCTTAGGAGACAAGTTTGACAGAGAGGATGGGAGGAAAAAGAGAGAGGAACAAGAAGTACAAAAAAATGTTTGATTAAATTGCCAGTTACCATTTTGACACTCTGCATTGATTTCACTATCTTTCACAGGCTCTGAATGAAAAGAAAGCCGTCATTTTACAGCGGATCAGATCTCAAGCCAGGAGCACAGATAGTCTGGGATCAACTCCGCAGCCCCGCACTTCCACGCCACTGCCTAAGACAAAGCGAGAGTCAGAGAGTACCACCCCAGAGCCTGTGAGCAGAGAGGGCACTGTGTTTACGCCCACGGCTGACAGAGAGTTGGAAGCAATTCTCAACCAAGAGGAAATCGCATCAGCCAGTGGCTCTGTCAGTGTCAAATCTCGGCCAACGACAGGGGCTTCTGAAGAGATGGAAACTGAGGAGTATACAGCTGGTGCTGGAGGTCAAGATGAGGTCAAAGTTCCTTCTAGGATCACAATAACAAAAGCTGCTGATGATGAAGATGCTGCTGTTGCTCAGAGTGGTGATGATGCTGCTGCTGAGACCGCAGATGTCGTTGATATCGGTGTCATACCTGGAAGTGCAGAAGGTGTGGAGGGTGAGAGCAGCAAGCAAACCTCGGGTAAACACAGGCTCAGCTTGCCGTTAAACTCTCAGAAAGGAAGTCGCTTGGGATTTCTGTCTCCAACCGGCTCATTTGTAGATATGAAGGGATCGAGATTATCTGTTGCTCAGTTCTCAGACCGGAGGTCAGTCATCAGCCGAGACAGTCTCCGTGAACGGGAGAAAGTGAACGCTGAAGTGAATGCAATCTACACTGATCTAAATGCAAGGTATGCTGATATGGTTGATGATCTGATCAAAATTGACAGGGGTTTGAACACGAAAGGATCTTCTACAGACTCGAGTATCAGCGCCACACCCAAGGTTATGCCTGGTCTTGTCACAAGCATTGATTACAGTGAAGTTGAAAAGCTGCTGAGAAGGAGCATTAATGAAGAATCAGAAGAATCACCCCGCGTAGAGGAAGGGAGTGGGGAAGAGAACAAAGGCGCTGAAGCTCAGATTGAGGAAGAGGGGACTACAAATGGAGAAGAACAAGGTGAGGCTGGGGACGAAGGTGAACCAAAATCTCAGGAAGACAAAGAACACGAACAACAGGGCTTCGCAGAATCGGAATGGAAATCGTATGCAGACACATTATCGCATGATGGTTACACGACTGATGCCACATCGTACCCATCCTATGATGAAAATGACGATGTTGATATTGCTCCCTCTCACATCAGCACTGCAGGTGTCACAGCTCAGGCATCAGAATATGATAATTATTCAGAGAGGGGGATCGACTCGGAGGACGAAACAGCACAGCCCATCAACCAACCCGAAGGTGAACAGTGAAAAATCTCTTTACATTCAAACAGAAACACTTGTTCATTCATGATAGCTTAAATCTACAGTCATATCGTTACCATTGACTCAATATATCTGATCTGTGAAGTACTTCAGGCGTATTTTCATTTTTGTGCCCTTGTTACAAAAGTATAATACTAATACGAGGAAAGGCTGTGAATATGATGAATCCCCCAGTCATTTTTTCGTGAATTTCAAATGTAAAAGAAATTTGGCTACAATATAGATTAATGAAAAAAAGTATGTTTTTGGCTTTGACGAATAGTTTAGTTGTTGGGACAGCTTGTGCAAGAGTTATTTAGTTTTATGTCCTTTAAATGTAATGTTCAAAATAATTATATTACTTGTTTTTTTCCTTCAATGGATCTTTTATGTTCTTGTTGTAAGACATTTTCAAATCTCTATCTGTTAAAAATAAATGCTATAGTTTTTTGTGCTTCTGTTTTTATACCATTTTCGTCATAATTGGTCCAAAAAAAGGAAAGAATGTAACTTGTTGATGAGAACTATTGCATTGATTTATAGCTGTTGTTTGTTTGTGTGCAATGATGATATCACTTTGATATGAAACGACATAATTAATGCCAATGAGTGGTTCAGACTTGCATTATGATATAAGGATTGAAGTGTAAAAATCTATGCAATGAAAACAGTTGGGTAATCTGACAGCAGGAATCCAGATTTTAGTATTATAAAAACCACTGCTGCCAAAAAATGTGTACTCAGTTTTCTTGTGATGTACTTTTGCTCTGAGGGAAGGAGAATCCTTGAGCTCTCATTCTCATAGTTTTCTGTGTGTACATGAGTGTATAACATGGAGTACGGTCTCCCAAGCTACTTTCTCTTTACTTCAGGCACGCCATGGCTGTGATTTTAAAGAAATGTGAGGCTTCATATGATTAATAAATAAAATATCTGTGAAAATATTTTCAAATCAGATTTTGTCTCTTTTGCCATTTGTGTCATGAAAATGGGTGAAAATTGTCTCACTTGGGAGGGGAGGGGATGAGGGGGGGGGGGGAGAATATAAATGACGGACATTATATTCAAGCCAGAAGGTTTTTGTTCTCTGACAGCACATTAGTTGTCCTACTTTTCCTAGTTTTAACTTCTACTTGTTCAACCAGGTTAAAAAAAGTCTCCTCTACACTCCACTTTCCCTCCTTCCTTTCCCTGGGCCTTTCTGGGGTTACTTGTATTCACTTTTTAAAAGTTTTAGTAAGAGTTTTAAGGCACTTGCAACACAATTAGGTCGTAAAAATGCTGAAGATTAGATGTGTTACAAGAGAGTAACAAACACAACAAAGAAGAGATAAAAGGACGATAGATGTTTGATGGAAAAGAAGGAGCAAACCATACCAAAGTACCCACCAACTACCCACGTACCTTCTTTCAATTTTCCTTGAAATAATAAGAGCAGATAGAATCAATAACTTATAGTGATACAAATCTTATGCCACTGGTTATTGATTCTTTTTCAGATCTATTTTTGTACAGTAAATCTTTGTAGCATAACACTCTGAATCTATGTAACTTGGCATGCAGTAATTCTTCCAATTCAAGGTATGCAGCTGTCAGACTTAAGTAACCACTGAGACTTATTCGTTTATAATAGTAAAAAACAAAAAACAAACAATAAACAAACAAAAAAAGATAAATATTAGGGCCATAGTCAAACAAACAGTTTTATTTATGAAGAAATTATCAACATTACGAAATCATGCAACTTTCATAATTTATACAACAGCAAAGTTCTTAAACCAGCAAAAGAAAGACAAAAATGATGCTCAATGAGCAGCTTTAAAAACTGTATCCCCAATTCATCTCAAAGTCAGCAGGTTTTTAATTTTCATAAACAAGAATGAATATCAAAGCTTTCACCAACAGAATCATATTCATGAAACAAATATTTTATGTGACTTCATTACCAGTGACACTGATAGTCATTTGTTAAAAGGAAAATAAAATGCCAGATACGATCAATACGAGAAGCCATTGTCAAACAAATAGATTTATTTATTAAGAAATACCTTGAGGTTGTACAGAAACACACCACAACCTAAACAAAGAGTGATTTTTAGTTAAACAGGCACATTTTGTATATTTTTCAGTCTGAAAAATTCACATCCAGTTGACAAATGTTTGGAGAGAACCACTTACAGTAACCATATGGTAATCACAGACAATAGGGGCCTACATTTAATTCTTTAATCTTCCCAAAGTTTCTGTTTATGAGCTCAGCATGAATAACAGACACATGTCTTTGTTTTTATCTTGAAACATTTACCTTAAAATTCAATATTTACAAAATATACTCAGTAAAACCTCGAGTTTAACGACTGTACAGAGAGTAGAGAGTGAGGAAAATCCATCTCTAGTTGTTCACGTTCACATATGTGTAAGCATATGCGGACATGCACACTCACACACACAAACACGTACACACACACAAACGCAAGTATATTATACATTAGAAATACATTACATAGATAAATAGTGGAGTCTACTTAAACCGAAATCTACCTGACCCCCCGGATTTTCTTTGGTTTAGCTGGATTCTGTATACAGAGGTTGCTCAAATGAAAGAAGAAAAAAAATCGAAGATTTTCTTTTCTTTCGGTTTACCAGTTTTCGGATTAAACATCTTCGGTTTAAGCATAACTCTCTCTCTCTCTCTCACACACACAAACGAATACACATTAACAATTAAAAATGCCAGGATAACAAGAGTATTGAGAGCCAGTGGAGCAGACCAAGTCACCGGGCCGGTTCACAAACTGCACATAAAGACCGTCCTTTCACAAACAAAGTAGTGAGCTATGTTGGCTCATTCATGGTCAGTATCTCCTTCTGTCAAGTTTCATCATCACTGCTTCTCTCCCTCCCCCACATCACTATCAGGGCCACAAACAAACACTTTCCACCTTTCCTTATCCCGGGCTAGCCTCTTGATGTTTTTCCATGTCTCCCCACTTTTCTGTGCATCATTTACTGTGACTTTTCTCCAGGTTCCACATGGCCTTCCCCTTGTCCACTTTAAGAATTACTTATTTCTCACTCTCCCGAAAATCCCATCTCCATATAGATATATATATATATATATATATACCGGCATCTTTAATGAAAACTTGTAAGAAAAAAAAGGGAAAAAAAGGAACTTGATATTTAAAAAAGAACTGGTTGAGTTTTAAAGTACCAATGCCCGTATTTACGCTATCTTTGACACAATTAACATCATTAGATGATGGGCTGTTTTGACCCTGCTTGGCCAACCTGAGGTGAGTAAGTTACAACATTCCAGCAAACAATTGATAGACAATGCCAAGACACCAAAAATATTCATGGATGAAGTGATTAAAATAATAATAATATTATAGCATGAGTAGAACACCACATAGTACTAATAGTAAGCAACATAGCGATCTCTTTAATCTAGTCAACAGACTAAACAACTAGGATTTTAAAAACCTATCTCATAACAGAAATGCACACCATGAGATTATTGTTGGCACTGCAAAGAGTGGACATTCAAACTGTATACTTTTTCTTATCATCTAATAAAAGTGCACACAACCACTCACATGATGAATTACCATTTTTTTTCATAGGCAATTTTGAGAATCCTTTATTTGTCGCTCTTCAGAAAACCCCATGATGACAAGCATTTGAAGCATCTTTAAAAATGATTGGACATGTTTTATATCCCCTTCCACACAATTAAGATAGTTTAGTAGGTAGGCTGGTTTACATCTCCCTGGGTTGTAGCCAACAAAGTAGGGTACAACAACCCAGGAAAAGACAAAGATAGCTTTTAATCACAATTTGCAACAAAAAATGTACTTTTGGCATATAAACCCC